TCAATCAACTATTGTGATATATTTGGTTCCTATAATTCCTAACATTGAAACAATCCTGAAATAATATCTACTGGGTACATAAAATATGAGATAATACATTGATATTATTTATATATTCATATAAAATAATATATTTTATGTACAGTGATGAATTTAATGTGTTCATGGGGATTTTAGGACATGGGCATGTATATTCACAAGTAAAAAATTTTATTGACTTATTTTTATTATACTAGTTTTGTCCAGTTTGGCTATCAAATGAATTAAGAAAATTTCACCAGTTTTTATGTCCTATAACAATTTCTATAATGTAGAACTTCTATTTCTTTAAAACATTGAAAGAACTCACTTGTAAAACTGTCTAGGCTCAGAGCCTTTTTTAGAGTTAATTATTTGAAAGAATTTTTCATCTTTGTCATGACTACTGTTCTAGTTAGGTCTTCCATCTCTCCTTGAGTTAATTTTAATTGTTTTTGCACATTAATATGATAATTTTATTGAGGGTTTTAAATGTATCACCACAAAATTTTACATAGTGGTTCTTATATTTTAAATCTCTAAATTAAGGGAAAACTCTGGTTCACCCATTTTATTTCCTTGGAATTGTAGATATAGTAGTTTCTGTTCTACTCCTCAAGAGAAAATATAGAAACAAACAGTCCTCCCCTCAAGAGATAATTGGCGAGATTAGAAAAAGGCTTATATCTACAGGGCTAAATTTACCAGGAGTTACACCATTTAAAAGGTAATAAGGGGGACTTCCCTGGTAGTCCAGTGGTAAAGAATCTGCCTTCCAAAGCAGGGGATGTAGGTTCAATCCCTGGTCAGGGAACTAAGATCCCACACGCCGTGGGGCAACTAAGCTCACGTATCACAACTCCTGAGCTCACGTGCCTCAACTACAGAGCCTGCATGCCACAAACTACAGAGCCCACACACCCTGGAGTCTGCACGCCACAACTAGAAAAGAGAAAACCCACATACCACAACTATAGAGAAGCCTGCGCGCCTTAACAAAGAGACTGCGCACCATGATGAAAGATCCCTCATGCCTCAACGAAGATCCCGTGTGCTGCAACTAAGACACAGCGCAGCCAAAAAATAAATAAAATAAAATAAAAAGGTAATAAGGGTATATATCTCATTCTGTGTTTTTATCATGCTTCCTCTTCTGCCTTCCTGTGCCCAGACATAGCAGGTCTGGTTTCTACATGGCAAGCAGACCTCACAGACCTTGGCAATAGGCCTGCCAATCACTGTTTTATGTACTCAGCTTCTCCACTGTGACCTGTGAGTTATCCTCAGTCATTTCAGACTGGAGAGAGTGGGAAATCCATTCTGGCTTAAAACTCAAGCCTCAATCACCAATTCATCTTTATCAGGAGCCCCTTACTTGGAGAGTAATTTGGCCTACGTTAATACAGCTGATAAGTTGATGGAAAACAGGCCTTTATTCTATGAAGCAGGACTGAAGGGGGATGAAGGAATTACTGACTTCCCAAACATAACCCCTAACTTTTTAGACACACTTCTTGTCATTCTCTATTTTACGTGCTTGTGGTTTGTCTTTTTTCTTGAATCAACTTTCCAGCAATTTGCATGTCATTATTATTTCATAGTCTAAAATAAGAGACTTAGTCTGGGTCAAAAGTGACTGTAAAGACCTCAACGGCATGACTTTATACATCTTCATTCTAATGTCACTCTAGTCACATGGCACAGTTTCCTTACGTAAACTTGCTTCTCTTTGCCACCTTCTCTTCTCTCTAACAAATAATTTCCTCCCCTTCAACTATATTTCCTTCCGCTTAAAGTCATCCATTTGATTATGATCTTTAATGATTCTTTCTCCAGCTCATGACTTTTCACATCCTCTCATGCTCAGTATTACCAGTTAAGATTCAGGAGGTAGGGAATCTTCCTAGCCCAGCTCATGCCTTCATGCCAAGCCACATTACAGATCCTGAAGAGCACAGGGAATGATAGAGGGCCTAGCGCCTGTCAAATGTCTGTCCTTAAGCCTACCATCTTGACTTGGCCTCCTCAATAACAGCTCAAAATCAATATATAGAAGCAGAATTCTTGATTCACACCCTTTTTCAAGCCTGTCTCCCATCTTTGTTCTCTTCCGCATCTCCATAATGTGACCACTGTCTCCAAGTTATTCAGCCCTATATCCTCTCCTTGGTTCCTCCCTTTCTCTCATCACCTCACTCATACACTCCCATGCATCAAGTCCCATCATTCTTTCTCTAAAGTAGATCCCAAATTCATCCATTCTCTTCATTTTCATGAACATCACCTTAATCCAGACACCAGTATTTCTTATCTGGATTATTATAACAGCCTCCTAATGGGTCCCTAACCAGTCACTACACTCCTGATTCTTTCCATCATTCTCGCCATACTCCACACAGTAATGACCTTGTTAAAATATAAATTCAATCAAATAGCTCCCTCACTTAAAATCCTCCAGTAGCTCCCTACTTTTCTCAGAATAAAATAGTCTTTTCCTGTGCCTGACACAGCTTTCCCTGATCTCATCCTGGCTAATCTCTCCACCTCATCTCACGTGTTCTCCCCCTACTTACAGTGTTCCAGCCACACCGCCTTCTTTCAGAGACCCAAGACCCTTAAAGCTGTTTTCTGCCTTAGGGCCTCGGCACACATCACTCTGCTTGTTTGATCGTCCTTCTGCTCCTTCACTTGCTTTAGATATTTGATCTTCTCCAAGTGTCTTTACTTGGCCACCCTATCCAAAGGAAATTTCTCCCAACTTGTAATTCTTTATTTTATTGCCTTATGCTTTCATATTTTTGCCTGTCTCCCTAAATTATTGGGAAAGAAACTACAAAGAGCAGAGCAAAAGAAAATGCCAAAAAGAGAAGCAACAACAACAAAAACCTTCAAAAGATAAGAAAGATGGGGGGAAAGCAAGAAATTGAAAGGAAATAAGCATAAAATTATTAACCTTCCTGGAGAAAAGAAGTTCATAAAATATTTAAATAAATGCAAAGCTTGTATGAACCACTAGTGAACATTTTAACCATTATTTTTCTAAGTCTTATGTACTGATTTCTAACTTTCCTGCCTTCAAGATTTATGTAAATCGATTTTCCTTGAATTCTGGTGACTACAATATTCTGTTGTTTGAGAACTTATCATAATGAAGGCTCAGAATGAGTTAGAAGCATTTGAAAACGTCATTATGAGCCACTAGAAGAGTCTAATGCTTCTTTTCTCATTGTAAGTTTGCATAGCAAGCATCCAAGACAAGTTTTAACATAAAACAACTCTTGGGGCCACGGGTACATGGGGCATCATTTCCCCACAATAGCCTGGCTCTCTCGCCTCCTTTTCTCTTCTGCAATGCCTCTTTGTAAATCACAGGTGTTTGTGGGCACAAAGACCATCAGAAGGGAGTTTATTGTGAAGAGTTCTTTCTTTTCCACTTGTTCTAAACCTGTTCAGAGAGTGCTGCATGCCTTAGACCAAATCTCCATAAAAATCAAGAAACAAGAAGTTTTCTGTACTCCTGCCCAACAGTCACACTATGACATCGGTTCGACAGCTCTGTGACCCTGTATTGTCCCAACTTTATTCACTAGTCTCTTTTCTCTTTCTCCCTCCCTTCCTTTTTTTAAGCCTTTATTGACATTTTTTTATCTACTGTAAAATGAAAAGGAGGAGGATGGTTTTTTGTTAGGTTTTTTTTAAGCGCCCTATGTTGCAGCTAGAAAAAGCTATCTGCAGTTACTGTAGTAATGGTTTCAAGAAACACCTGCAAATCAAAGAAAGACACCATAACAGTGTCTTCAGTTTTTTGTTTTTGTTTTTTTTTCTTCCCTCAGAGCTCCTTCTTGACCATTATAGAGTAGGTCGGGAATGAATTTATGTGACAGCTATGAAGTTAGTATTAAAAGTGTGAATAGTGCCTAGCAGTTTTCATGCACTTACTATAAGATCGCCTCAATTTGCCACACAGCAGTGAAAAGGGTAAGGGGGGTGGGGGGGAAAGGGGGGTGTCAAATGAATGGGAAGAGGAAGGTCTGTGAATGGGAAGGTTTCCCTGGAGGGAGCAGCACGGGACTCACAGGAGAAATGTGCTTTATTTTTGAAATTCCAGAAAGAAAGCCCAGGAGAAGCTGCCTAAAAGTCCTGAAGCATGAGGGTGAAGGATGTGAGATATACGATATGTCTGTACACATTTAGCAAGTGTCAAAGCCAACTCTAGAATCATGGACTGGGCGGGGAATGGGGGTGGAAATGGAGGTGCGATGGTAAATCCATTCCGCTGGTCTTCCAAGATTGAATATTAAATGCCAGCAGGGAGCAGATGCGGGTAGGGGCTACAGAATGGGGGTAAGGGGCATGGAAGCAGGGCGTTAAGCGTTTATCTCAATGGAAATTAACCACTCGAGGAGAATCAGAAGAGAGCTGGAGCGGGCTGGGCAGGGGAGACCGTCTCTTCTGGTGCGGGGATTTGAGGAGCGCCTTCAGAAAAATGAGGTGAGCCGGCCTGCAAAGAGCAAGGCGGGGCGTGCCCTCCACAGCCCCCGGGGCCCCGCCCCCGCAGCACCCCCACCCCCACATTAGCATGCGGGCCGCAGCGGGCCGGCCGGGCGGGGGAGGGCGGCAGTGGGATCGCCGCGCTGGGCTCTTTGTGGGCCGCGCTCGCCTCCGCGGGGGACCATCTGCTCGCTGTCAATGCATCACCTGCTCGTCTGGGCCGTCGCCGGGGCAACGGGGGGCGGGGGATTAAGGAGCGTGTACGTCTGGGTCCCGGCCGCGGCGGGGGCGAGGGCGGGGCGCTCCTCAGCCGCCCCCAGCCCCGGGACAGGTCCGCCCCGCGGAGGGGGCCAGGCGACCACCGTGGCGGGCGGCGCCGCCGCTCGCTGCTGCCCCTTGGGCTTGGCAAAGGCACCCGAGACGCCTCTACTCGCGGAGGCGGCAGTCTCGAGGCGGAGCAGACAGCCGACGGCCCCGCCCTTCAAACTCACCGGGAGGGCTAAAACTGCGACCCTCGCGTCTACCTGGAGCTGCGTGGGCCAGGTCCCGGCGGTGCCGCCTGCTGCCTCATCCGGGGAGCTGGCCCGCTCAGCCGGTCCCTGGGGGCGCAGTGCAGCGCGGTTCTGAGCGTCCCGCAGTCGCTGAGCCACCGTAATGGGGTCAGCATCGCAGGTAGAACCTCCCGGCTCCAGACTGCCATCCAAGTCACAGATAACTTCCAGACGTATCCTCTGACATTCTCGTCGGCCGCCCATCGCCAAGCCTGGGGAAGCCTTGGAAATCAGAATATGAGTGACACCTGCTCTTTAGATTTATCTAAACGGGTTTTCCACGGAGGGAGTAGTTCTGGAGATAAAACCCCCCAGAAATCCTGAAATCCCCCTTCCACCCACTCGTACTCCTGCACTCTAATTTTGAATACAGGAGAAGTGTGGTGAGTGATTTCAGCCAACAGCAGGGGGCAGAGCTAGGCTGCAGATAGGACCACGTCCACTCTGGGATTATATTGGATCCGAAGCCATGCTCTCTGGTTTAGAAACTTCCAGGAAAATCTATCCTCTGCCCTTGCCCATCTCCACCCCACCCCCCAACTGGTCAAGGACACCAGCTGCACCAACATAAGTCAATCATATCTGCCAGAGGATTCCATGCCCCTGAACTAAGAGCAGCTAACTCCCCGACGTAAACTTAACATGGCCTACACAGAACCAAGGAGTTCAGCTTTAATCACAACTCATTTTTTTTTTTTTTTATGGGCTGGCCAACTGCTTTTATTCCTTTGCAGAATAACAGAAGCTGCAGAAAGTAGATTCACTGAGTCCCAGGCCTGACACCCCTACCTCCTCCCCAAACCCACATCTAAAACACTTCCAGCCGGGTAAAATTCTAGCTTTTTTTCTAAAGCTTTCCGAGTCAAGAAAGCCCGAAATCTTTCGGGAATAAATCTCATTCCAGAAGCTGGCAACCCTTGAGGAACCAAGAGTCTTTGACTAACTTAGTAACTCAAACCCACTTCCTGCAGTTCTGCTCTCTGAAGGAAGAGAAATTGGCCTCTTTTCAAATGAACCCTTTGTGTTGAAGAAATTATTAAATTGTCTATTAACCTTCTCAAATTTTCTCCAGTCTTTACTATTTTTCTTTTCTTTAACAAAATCCATATTTCAGGTTACACCAAATCAAGTTTGTGATATTGACCCTACATAACTTCAACTAAAATCTCATAATCATCAAATAAAATTTCTCCCATACTTTTATGATTTCTAGATATGAACACCATGAATTAGACTAATTTTGTGATTAAAATCAAAATTTTAAAGTTGGGCTTCCCTGGTGGCGCAGTGGTTGAGAGTCCGCCTGCCAATGCAGGGGACACGGGTTCGTGCCCCGGTCCGGGAAGATCCCACATACCGCAGAGCGGCTGGGCCCGTGAGCCATGGCCGCTGAGCCTGCGCGTCCGGAGCCTGTGCTCCGCAACGGGAGAGGCCACAACAGTGAGAGGCCCGCGTACCGCAAAAAAAAAAAATTTTAAAGTTTACTGTTACCATCATTTATTTGTTGTTCCTATCATTTAATGCAAGAGAAAAAAGTCAACCATAAAAATATACATGCACTTTGACATGAAAGGAAGGAAAAAAAAAAACAAGTGTGTAATGTATAAACTTGCCCAAAAGATTAAAATTTCACCCATCCAATACTGCTTTTAATTGTGACTTTTAAGAATTAAAGGTGAGAGTTCTTAGAAGGCATGCTCTTTGATTCAAAAGGTACTTCCAGATAGACAGAATCATGGCATCATTCCCACTTTAAAAAGGATGAGTTTGAGTCTAACCATCCTATCTATAGAAAAGATAACTGAAACCAAAAGATAAGCAACTAGCCCAAGACTGTTATAGACAGTGGCTGGGGGTGCTCAGAGCACCTTCAGCCCCACTAACCTCCCAGAGGAGCAGGCTTCCACACCAAGAACACCTCAAAATGCCCTTAATCCACTCTATTCCCACTGCTACAGCTGCTGGCCGCACAGCAGAGATGAGAACTCTTCACCAGTTCAACAAATAATCATTGAACACCTGCCATGTGTAAGGCAAACTAGACAGACACCACCCTCATGGCGCTCACTGTTCAGTAGGGGTAAATAGATTTTTTTTAAACTTTTTATTCATTTACCCAACAAACATTTCTTGAGCACCTAATCAACTACTAGGATAGGGGAAAATACATCCACAAGTAAGATGTGGGTATCTGTCTCAAAAAGAGAAAAACACACACAAGAAAAACCAGAGCATAATGTAATTAATTAGAAGATAACATCAGTATGCCGAAGTATCATGGAAGTATAGAGGAGGCATCAGATGATTTTGTCTAGATACTGCCACAGAGATGTCATAAACTGGGCCATCAAGAATTAGTAGGCATCCCCAGCACCTAAAACAGGGCCTGGCACATAGCAGATGCTCGATAAATAGTCATTAAATAAATTATGTATTTTCCAAGTAAGGAAGAAATTCCAGGTGAAGAAGTTACAGTATGAGCAAAGGCTCCAAGCATATTGTTTAAGGAATGAATGAGCAACTCATTATGAGCAAAACAATACAAGGGAGGAGAAAGAGGATGATGGAATGCTGGTGTGGAGGCATGTGGAGAAGGGATGTGGGTACCGTGCCAGGAATCTGGACTTCGTCTTGGAGACCAATAATTTTTCAAGAGCAGAACACTTTTTTTAAACAGAGTCTTGCAAGAAACTCAAATACAATAAAACTGATCAAAATACAGCTGCCCTAGTTGAAACAGGAATAGGATCTGACATCCTGCTCCCTGGTCACAACCTCACCCTTTAGGCACTGCTGCGGAACCCTTCTATTGCCCCTGGAACACTTTAAAAAACAGTGCCATGGGGGCTTCCCTGGTGGCGCAGCGGTTGAGAGTCCGCCTGCCGATGCAGGGGACACGGGTTCGTGCCCCGGTCCGGGAAGATCCCACATGCCGTGGAGCGGCTGGGCCCGTAAGCCATGGCCGCTGAGCCTGCGCATCCGGAGCCTGTGCTCCGCAACGGGAGAGGCCACAGCAGTGAGAGGCCTGCATACCGGAAAAAAAAAAAAAAAAAAAAAAGGGGCAGGGGAAAAAAGGAAAGAAAAGACAACAAAAAGGAAGGGCAAGAAAACAAAAAAAAAAAAAAAAAAAAAAAAAGTGCCATGGGCAACGGGCTATCACTGAACATCACTAAGCATGAGAGTGCGAGTTTGGATGGGAAGGAGTCTAGGAAAGCATTTAGGTTGTTACTGAAACTGTCCAAGCACAAAATAATGAGGACTTAGTGAAATGGATGATAAAGAGATTTTGAAGATGGAATCCTTAATATGTATGGTCTTTCTGCTTCAGGGAAAATAATTTCACCTCTGGTACATTCTGAATTTGGATATTTTTATAGTAATATGTAATAAACTGTGCTGTGCATGATAACTGTTACTATGTCCAACACATTCCCACACTTGCAAACGTTTTGAAAAAAATACAAATTCCTTTGCACTAGCTGCTTAAGATGTGGCCCATATGTCAGAATATAGATTTTTGGATCTTAAGATGAGTAAATGGAAGATTTATAAATAAAACCAAAAGGAAGGCAGAGATGAGAGATATCTAATGCTCCTTTAACTTACTAATCAGGGGAACCAATTTTTGAGCAATGATCAAAGTTATGGTGTACGGTGACCCTTCCCTGCACCCGCTCAAATGTAAGCATTCAAGTGCTTTTCTTAAAAGTCACAGGAAGTTCATCACTGATCACTTACATTGAGCTATAATTGCCCATTAAAAGCCCCTCGTGGGTAGAAAACTTGTGATTTAAGGAATCCATGGCACTTCTGAACTGGGTAGAACAAAGATGTATGCTCACGCAGGTGAGCTGAAGGAAGAGGGGCAGCAAAGGGGAGCTGGGACGCCAAGGAAATTCACATGATGAAGATAGCTGGCGTTTAGCCGGAAGTGAAAACTATAAATATTAATCAGATGAGAATCAGCGTCACTCCACTTCAAGAATGTTCTGTAATTAAAAAGGGTGGGTATTGTGTTGTGCACGTTAGCACAACTGTCACCAATAATATTGGATGCCAGCAGCTCCTGAGTGCCAGAGAGAACACAGGTTCCTGAGGATGTCACCTAGCAGAAAGTTTACTACATAAACATCAGCCATTTATGTCCAATTCAAATAACACTCTAAAATAAAGGGAGAAAAAAATACCTGGGTTTCAAAATTGTGTTTCTGTTTTTAAAAGAAAAGGCAAGGAAAGAAATATTTGTTGGATACCTATTATATGTCAGGCATTTTCTAGATGCTTTCCATATGTCGTGTCACTTAATCCTTACTTCAGGCTTGCAGAAAAAGTGTCATCGTGATCACATTTCAAAGATGCGGCAGTTCCCAAGTTGGCTTTAACGTCCAGGGTGTAGCTGTTGGTGAGTGTGTCTGAAGTGGAGGGGAGAAGTGGTGTCCCTGACATTGGTGAAGTTACAAAATCATGAGATTAGGATGCTCGGTGGACCATCCACATGAGCGCTGAGTCTCCCAGGAAGCTGATGACTTGGAGTAGATGAGAAGGGTAGGAGGGAGGCACCAAAGCTCTCATTTGGGGACATCAGCAGTCACTCTACTCAGTGGTCAGGCAAAGGACATGTGAGCAACATACCAAGTGTGTCAAAGGAGAGGGGGTTGTTAGAGATCAGAGGAGGAATGGTTGAAAGAGCCAATGGGGGACAAAAGTATGTTGTTCTCTTCTTCTGCGTCTGGTCAAAGATGAGCAAGGATGAAGAGCTTACGCTCCGGGGGTTACAAAGGAAGTCACCTCGTCAAAGGAGAACAAAGTTTTAGTTGGGTCAGAAGTGGAGGGACCTTTGAATGAAGAGGCGAGGAATGCAGAGGAATTCTGATGAGGTCACTCTCTTGTCTCTCCCTTGCCTACAGTTGAAATCCAAATCCTTAAAGGTAATCCCAGCCCTCAAGGATGTGACCTTGTCTAGTGGTGCCCTGGTCAACGTTTAACAACCAGCTCTCAGGGAGGATAAAGCCCTGATTTGTAGCATTTGCCAATTTCCATAGTGTAAATACTCCTACTGTGACTGATTTCAAGCTTCCAACGTGACATTAGTGCGTGCAGATTTGGGAAAAGATGTGTACAATCAGCTTTGATAAGTCAGTGCAAGTTGGCTCAAACACACCACTGCCTTTGACTATATTTCATATTTCCTGTCACTTCTTCCCACCGTGTATACTTGTTCAAAGATGGGGCTGCTAACTTGTGCAAACTCTACACTGCACAACTCTAGGAGTGCCACATTCATCACAGTCCTC